TGTGACCGACTAGCACCCGTGGCTGTAGAGTAGTGTGCTAATGTTGCGACAACATTCATGACCCAGTATCGAGTTTCGTTATGGTGACTGATGAAACCTAGGCGTGGTCGAGACTGAAGTTCATTCTGGATGAGAGAGCTCTTTGGCGGGTAAGGCAAAGTGAAATTCAAGTGCACTCTGAGGTCTACACATCTTACTTTTGGAAAACTCAACTCAGTGAACCAATCAATTTAATCGATCTAAGGTGACCAAGTAATTATTTTAAAATTACGGATGGTCTCAAAACCTACTTTTTGAACACAGTGAGATGCAGCTCCTTCTAGAGTTAGCTGAATTTTACTATGAAATAGTTCAACCATTTCACACAATTCATTCGTCGGAAAGTTAGTCGTTATAAACATGCAAACTCTAATGAAGCATGAACAATAGCGACTAAGCCATAACGATTACAACTTAATAAGGCATGAAATCTTACATGCTTTGGGGTTGTAGAATAAGCCAACCTGTATTTGCCACTGGAATTTATGACATATGTAGGTCACCCCTGCCCCCTGGCACTAATGGTTGTGTAGTGGAATGTAAGCGTCGCCAAGATACTCACGACCCTGAATCGAGTCTCATTAGAAGAACTAATGAAACCTAAGCGAAATCGAAATTACAGTCTATCCTGGATGAGATGGCCACTGGAAGGAAAGGCTATGCGAAATGCAATGGCATCACCAGGCATATAAGAGTTATTGTAGGAAAATACAATTATCATTTCTATAATAACCTTAATTAACCCATGGTGAATAAGTGCCTGAACAAATTTATGGCTGGAAGAGTGCATGCTACCTTAGTCTCAGTGCTGTTTCTTTTATGAATTTCATGTGCTCAGAGCAAAATTTCCACATTAATCCAAGCAAAATTATGTTTTATGCAAATGGGAAATTCATATAGTGAGGGTTTTGAGACTATAATCGTATCGTGAATTAAAGCTGTAGTCACCCCAAATCACGTAAGGTGATTTACTGACATCACAGAGCGGTGCGCTGAGGATCCATTCTCTCAAATCTTGTCATATCTTATAGGTAATCCCCCTTCAGCTTCCAAAGGGGCCAAATTACGAATCCCTTCCACTCGTCCCTGGTATCAATCTCTTAAGGGATTCTTCGAAACCCAGATTTTCTGCATAATTTTAACACCTGTCTGCAAGCTTCTCAGCTTTGCTGGCGGTAGCTGGTAAAAAATTCTCTGACAGAAGATTAAATTATTTTGCAAACCATGGAAAGGACCGAAAAAAAAGATTTTTCACATTTGTGCATGAAAAACATGTCAGAAAGCCCTAATAGACTAGAGGAAGCAGACTTTCAGTGATTAGAATAAATGATGCTGGGCCATTTAATAAAGCTATGTGTTTGCATAAATTTGCCACTTTTTAGATGATAAAGAATTATTTAGAAAGAAAATGATGCCACACTTTTTATTTACCCACGATAATAGAAAATTCGTTTCATTTAATATGCTATCAGTGCTTGAATGTATAAATAACGCAGATAGCCGAAGATAATTTAAAGTTGATAGATATAAATTATGGAGCCAAGCTTGGAGTTAACATCTAACTTCTTACCTTGTATCATATGAGGTTGTAGGTATCTATACTAACCGGTCTTGAGATATCGCAGGAAACAAATAACCCTAATTATGTAATGTTATGTTTGTCTCGGTCATTAAATTATTTTATTTCGTTAGGCTTGCACCTTAAGTCAGATTCTACCAAAGCATAAATAACTATCGTTGGTATAATATATAACACGTTTTATGCAACAACAAAATTTGCAGATTACAGTACTGAATACAATAATATTCACCAATTAAGCCAGTACCCGTGCCGGCAACTCCGGTAGGCCCAACTCCCAAGAGCTGGTTTGTCCCCGGTGTAACTGCCTGTGACCCAGTTAAAATATTGCTACTGGAATGCAGATTCAAGGGTATTCCACTACCAGAGATCTGCTGCAAGTATCCAGTAGTAATGCCGTTGAAAGCGCCATGAGAAGTTGAAGACGTCGGCAGAACGTGGCTGCCACCCAGAGGGATTCCAACTACTAGGCCACTATTTCCACCACCGGGTCGAGTAGGCACTGCAATATTGGTTGATGTTTGCCCTCCAACCAAGTTCCAAGCCTGGCCTCCATTAATTAAGGTTACGAGACCTGTCAGACCAGGTATAAGGAGTCCTGTGGGCATGGTGCTGATGCTAGTGGAAATGGATGTGGAGGACGAGAAGGAAGAAGGGGAAGAGAGAGGGGCGACCACTTCACAAGCCACTGAGGTCAGTGTCTGTCCAAGCAAGGAAGTAGAGAGCGGTGGTCCACATAAGGCATTGATGCTGCCGGCATTAATACAAGTGCCGAAGTTGGACACAGAAGGGTTAATACTGCTGGTAAGCCCAGGTGGCTGATAGATACCGCTAGTAGCGATGGCATTGCCGCTGTTACCAGCACCGCTGCCGTTTGATAAAGGGACAGAGATTGGGGCCTGATTCAGCCCCGTTCCCAGCTGTCCTACAATCAGTCCACTCGGCAGAAGGCCAGTAGCGACCACAGTCGAGTTGGGCAAGCTTAATGATGGACCTGTACCTCCAATCCCACTACCACAGCTTAGTACAGACACAGAAGCACCGAGTTGGCCACATGAAGCCCCCAGTACAAGTGGCAGGCCGGAGATCGTACCAATACTAAGACCCTGGCTTGAACCGGTTGTTGTGGTTGCGGCACCACCTGAGAGAGGCAGGAACGGTAATTGCGCCATATTTGATCCCCCAGCTCCACATGTGGCAAGGCCATTGGAACCAGAGCAAGTGACAGTAAATCCACTAGTTCCACATCCGCCACCGCTGCTGTTGCTGCTAACACACGATGAAGATGTTGCTGCTAAGTTAAGGTGATAACTGCTGCCCATCACCCAATCGCACAGGTAATCAACAAGCTTGTTGCGAAACCTCATTTCCTGCAGATAATAATAAAAAAATGACCAATGCTTGTGAAATTTATTCTTTAATAACTCAAGAACTGCGAAAAATGAGTAAGCTACCCTGAGGTGTCGACATTATTATAACTATATGAAGATATAGTTTGAAAAAATATAGCAGTTTAAAAGCAAACGATTTAGTTAATAATGTAGATAATGGCAA